ATCATCATCGGATGAGTCTCCCCAAGCTGCCATCATTGCCTTCTTGAGGTCTCTGTTGAACTCTTTATCTTCACTGGACCTCCGATGGGAACTGGTCTTGTTCTTGTCGTAGGTTCTATCATTTTTCTTTTGGGGACAATCTTTTGCCCTGTGCTCAAAGGAACCACAAACGAAACAACCTTGGTTATTAAACGATTGAAAACCCTTTTTACCTTGCTTATTTCGGTTGCCTTTGAATTTCCGGTACATCTTCCCGAATTGCTTGGCGAACATGCTCATTTCGTCTTCCGATTCACTTTCGGATTCTTCTTCTTCTTCTCGAGCCTTGAGAGCTATTCCTCGCTCCTTTCTCACATTTTCGGCATCTTGTTCTTCTTGTAGGCCTAGCTCATAGGTCATGAGTGAGCCAGTCAAGTCTTCTAGCGTCATGGTAGAGAGATCTTTAGCTTCTTCTATTGTTGTAGTTTTAGGCTTCCATGCGGATGGTAGGCTTCTCATAACTTTTCTCACTTGATCTTCTACAGTAATATCTTTTCCAAGTGCTGAGAGCTCATTGATAATATTAGTAAAACGTGTAATCATATCCCTAATTGATTCTTTAGGCTTCATCACGAATAATTCGTAATTACGCATAAATATGTCAATTTTGGATCTTTTTACACGCGAGGTACCCTCATGCGTAATCTCAAGTAGATCCCACATTTGTTTTGCGGATTTGCATCCAAGAACACGGTTGTGCTCAGCCGGACCAAGTCCACAAATCAAATATTTCAATGCTTGAGCATTATACTCGAGTTTACAATAATCATCAGAGGTATATTCAGATTTGGGTTTAGGGATAACCATACCTTCGGCATCTTCTTTTGTAATGATGTTATCGCCTACTTCAATTACGTTCCATACCCGGTAGTTCTCAGCCTTGATGAAGTTCTCCATTCGACTCTTCCAGAATTGATAAAATTTGCCGTTGAACAACGGTGGTCATTGAGTCGAGTATCCTTCCTCCAATCGTTCAACCGTATTCATGCTGCCGGATCTCTTCCCAAGGTTTTAACCTTTCTGTGGTGAAGACCGGCTCTGATACCAATTGATGAAACGGTTAGCAACACAAGAGGGGGGGGTGAATTGTGTGTGTGTGGAACCGTGGCAGTTTTTCGCACAGTTCTAGTGTGGGGTCCAGGGAATTACGAAATAGTAAAGTGCACAAGGATTTAACGAGGAAAAATCCCTTGGCTCAAAGGGATTAAAAAACCTCGACCTCCCTCGGAGGAATTTGAACAACTCCACTAAAAAGCCTTTGAATGATTACAAGGGAAACTCTCCTAGTCTACCCTTGAGCCACCCCAACTCTATCCTCTCTAGGAAGAGTTATGCATCTCTACCTTGCGGGTAGAGAGCCTCTCAACTTTACAACAAAGCTCTCACAACACACTAACCAACCCGAGGATGCTACACTTAGCCAATCCTCAAAAACCCAATTACAATATGAAGAAGGGAAAAAGAAACTCTGTCTGGAACTCCGTGAGCAGGTTCAGGTGCCTTGGACTTAGTGAATATTCTCGTGTATATTTCTCAATAGAAGCTCGGTCAAGCACACCACTTTCGTCTGGTCTTCAGTCCAATACATATAGCATCCGTAGCCTCTCCTTTCCTTTTATTCAAAAGATCTTCCGGCTCTCAATTATGGTGATCCTCGGTCAACCATATATATGGAAGTATATTATGAGTAATTCACTCAATAACAAACAGATATGGAGAATATTACGTATCACATATAAGGAGAATATTTTATTCTCCTAATATAAGCAGCCAACGAACATTATGTAGCAACAACATATTTATATAATCAATGATTAGTCCTTTTTAACAAGTTTGAATATGTAACGATCATATAAGTAAGATATTCAAATAAGATGCTACAGATCATGCAACCCAAGATACTTTCCAAAATTTATGACTTTTTAACATTAAGTGATGAGGAAATATTTACTCAGTGGATCTAAATATGCTACAGTCAATTTGTGCAGGATATTTACGAAGCATAAATAATGATTCTTTCCATAAGCTATATAGGCCAACTCATAGAGGTGAGTGCTTAATCGTATACGGAAAGATATATAAATTGTGCCACGTGTACTAGGAATATGCATGATCAATTAGGCATGTAGATGAGGTATTATCATGCAGATACATATTAATTTATTCATTATGCACAACAGTAGATCAGAACTAAGTATAGTTCCAATTCTCGTTTCTAATGGAGTTGAGAGCAGTTCTGTCCGCCATTCCACCTACATGGTTAGTCATCAACAAAACAACATATTCAACAATATATTAGTTTAAGTTGTGTGAAATCCTTCTGTGTTAGATATTAAACAGTTTTTAATTTTGTGTGTCAGATACTGCTCCTTGTGCATTAGACATTAGATTTTGTGGTGAAGATATTTGTTTTAGTTTTTCTTATACATATTGTGTGTTGGATAGTGTTTGTTGTGCGTAAGATATTAGTGGTTGTGTATTAGATACATATTATTGTATATGCGGTACCTGAAGATAATGTTTGTTGCGGTTTATTGTATACATTTTATACATTTTTTTTAAAAAAAAATTATATGTCATATTGATCTAATTTGAAAGATCATAAAAAGTTATTTAATTTGATACAATTTTTGTTGAAATCAGATTTTAACTTAAAAAGTTAAATCAATTTTAAAACTAAAACATCTTATATGATTTGACATTCAATCTCTTCCTAATTCTTTGGTAGGTGATAGCCTTCAACCGATACTACATTAAATGATTTTTGAAAGGTTGACATTTTATATAGTAGTGTTCTGGTCCGGAATTCCGCCTTACTGGTGGAATTTTTTGATTAAATTTTTATGGCATGTTCTTCATCAAGTTTAGTTTATCCACACAAAACGTCAGCTAAAAACTCAATCCGGAAGGTCGTCAAATGATTTTTTGAAGTTAACTGCGCTAAAAAATACATATAAAACGCAGTTAATTTCAAAAAATCATTTGACGACTTTCCGGATTGAATGTTTAGCTGAATTTTTTTGTGGTTAAACTAAATTTGATGAAGAACATGCCATAAACAATTCATCAAAAAATTACACCGGGAAGGCGGACAAAAGCCGTCGGCCGGACGGCATTTCTGGTCGAGACGTCCGGACCTGAACATTTGTGTGTGCGTGTGTACTAGTAGAGTTGCGCGCGTTGCGCGTAATCCGTGCCCAATACCAGGTAACAAGCCAAAAAATGGGGAAAAAAATTTAAAACGGAAAGATGAAACAACATTTCAATCATCCAGGTACACCATTGCATTGTTTAAAAGCAAACGAAACGGAAAAGAGATGTACATGATTGTAAGGATTGCAGTGACATCAACGATGCGATGGCAACATAATCAAGAAAACATCAACAAAGAGCAAGAGAAGTAGTTTTCCAAGACAGTTAAGTCCAGATGTGATCACAGTCAGCCTCGTCAGTACTGGCTCCATAGGACGAATCCACCAGGACTTACATCACCATTCAGGCTGTTCCTCCCACCACACGAACCCGCTACCTTCATTATCATACCCTCCTTCTCAGCCGTTGAGAAACTCCGTGAAGGTAGGAAGAATCATTGGGAGCAAACCCTCCCTACTCTCCCCTAAATGTAGGGCTGGACTCGGTTCGGATACCGAACCGATTAAGGTCAACCCGAAACCGAACCGATATTTCGGTTATCCAAATAATCATAACCGAAACCGAACCGTTCAGAAACGGGTACCAAATAATCGGAAACCGATAATTCGGTTCGGTTTACCAAAAACCGAAAAAATAACCGACTTTCATTAAATAAACAAAATATTTGAATTTTTCAATACACTAGGCCCAAGTTTTTAGAAGCTCAAGCCCAATTTTACTTTGCCCAACATTCTCAAGGAGTATGTTTGGACTTTGGAGTTGCACGGTCAGTCTAATCAGTAGACATGCCAATATATAGCTGCTATTGAGGAGGAAGTTTTCAATTTCTCCGGTGTGGGATAAGGAGCTGTGGAAACAAAATGGAAACTGAACCATTGAAAAAAATAAAGCGACCCCGGGATTCGAAAACGGGTCGTCTGTGGCAACAACTAGCTTGGCAACCATCTTGCTGCAGACCTTTGTTGCTTTTCTTAGGACTGAATTTCATTTTATATACATTAAATAAAGGTAATTAACTATAAATTTCTTATAATATTATTAATAAAATTTCGGTTCGGTTCGGTTCAAACGGACATATTAGAACTATAAACCGATTCCGATCCGTTTTTTTTTCGGGTCCCAATTTTCGGGTCCCAAATTATATCGGTTCGGTTCGGTTCGGTTTTTTTTCAAAACGGTTCGGTTTTTTTCGGTTCGGTTTTCGGTTTTTCGGTCCAAAATGCCAGCCCTACCTAAATGTGCCTAACGGGATTCGAACTCGAGACCTCCGCTAGGACAGGGTAACCTCTCATCCAGTGAGTTGCAATGGTTGGTTTCAATTCCTCATGCCAGCTTCAAAAAAAGAGCAAGGGTGCGCAACGAGAAAAAACTGACAATGTGCGCAGCGAAGAAAAAAGAAGGAAGAAGAAGATGATGTGTTTCATCAGCGTCACCTGCACCTAGTCTTCGCTGTCCTTCGTCTCCTTTGTCATCGACCGGCCCGTTGCTTCAGGTCTAGGGATCCTGTTAAACTCGTGAGGTGGAGGAGCGCAGATGACTGCCACCGTTGCCCTTGTGTGCGTTGTTCGGCAAAGGTTTTGCTGAAGTATGGGGCTGAGTTTGTCCGGAAGAGGGAGGATAGGAGAATGGTGCAGTGTGCTCTTAGGATGTGTTTGGGAGTTGGGTTGTGGAGGGGAAGGTTGAGGATGATTTTGGAGGGCTTTCGTGACCCCAAAACCCTCTAAACGTTCAATTTTTTAGTTCGCTCAATTTTGAAGGTTTTGAAGGATAATTAACGAATTGTTAATTTAAGTTGAATTAAAAATAAATATCAGTTCAATTATTTGAATTCATCTTATTGCATCTATTTAAGATTTAAGAACGAGTACTAAATATAAATAACACCAGCAGTCACCCACACCGGAGGACCATAAACAACAGCTTATTACACATCATTTACACAGATCCATCATTGTGTCGATTATAGGGATTATTAAGCTGCTAATACTACAAGTGTACCACCAAAAACGCAGGTTGGTTCACTACATCCAAGGAGAATTATAGACTGGAGTGGCAACAGACTTCACTTGCAGATACTTTGATAGGGCTTCCATTCCCAGGTCTCTTCCGAATCCGCTCATTTTGTATCCACCGTAGGGGCAGTCGGCGTCAAAGGCGAAATAGCAGTTGATCCATATCACGCCTGATCTGATTGATCTTGAAACCGTGTTGGCGATGTCCCAGTTATTCGTCATGACCCCGCCCGCTAATCCGTAGTTCGATGAATTCGCCCTCTTGATCACCTCCTCCACCGTCCTGAACCATCACCATATATGATCTCAATTTAGTGATACTATCATCAGATGTGTTCTCAACTACGTAGTATTAAAAAGAAAGTACAGAGATATGAAACCAAGCTTCATTACTTGAACTTCAATATAGACATAACAGGTCCGAAAATTTCCTCCTTTGCAATTATCATATCATCCTGCAGAACCCCAAAAGCTCTAATAAGATAGGAGTATATTGTTACAACTTAGGGACTAGACTCCACCAGACCGGATTTCGACTTTTGAAAAATACACATAAAACAAACACCTATCAGACGTACCGTGACATCCGCGAAAATAGTTGGCTCAATGAAATATCCTTTCCTATTTAATGGCTTCCCACCGGCTAACAATGTAGCACCTTCTCTCTTTCCATGCTCCACGTACGAAAGCACCCTCTCTAACTGGTTTTTGCTAACCTGCAACAACCACATTAGTTTTATTTGAACTTTTGATCCTATATTGAGTCATTTTTATACTTTTATATTGCCTATATTGCCTAACAATGTCACTCTATTTAATAGAAATTCTGTAATTTGATCAGGGCAGATCCTAGCATTTTTTTGGGTTGAGTCAAATTTTATAAAAGGGTCCTTAGATACCATTATAAGTAAATATTACGGAGTAAAACATAAACATTTTACTATGTAGTATAATGAAGTAAATGTCAAACCGCCTAATTAAAGACACATATCTATCTCACGGTTTATTACTACGTACTACGTATATATTACCTCCGATATGAGGTAAAGGTCGTTCATATTCCCCGGTCAATGTATATTATTCTTAATCTTTCACTTTTTATATTCAACTTTTATCGATCAGAAAATTACAGAAGTGAGATGGCTCACTTAGGGGATGGCGGTTACACTGGCTCTGGGACTTAGGGTTGATATATATGTCATGTAGGTTATTACCGATTTGGCTCAAATAAGAAAATCAATAATACTAGCAAAACACTTACTATTTGGCATATGGAATTATGGAAACACGGGTCACTGCTTGAAATTCTTGAGACATACTCCGTATTTATACATGTACTATACACATATATATAAGGGTGGCTAGAATATTTATGAGCCCTAATTTTTTTTCAATTTTGTGGAGCCTGAGGCTATTGCCTCTTTGCCTCATATGAAGGTTCGGCCCTGAATTTGATTGGGCCGTTATAGTGCTTTAACTTATTTGTAAATCATGTGATGTGACACATGTTTCTCATTTAAGTAATCATTTCAGGTATAAAAGTTCGAAAAGTTGCCACCAATATTATATTTCCGTTGAAAATTTTACATTCGAATAATTTATGAATATATTATGGAGTAATACATGTTTAAAATTTAAAAACCTTTCATGGGGAAGTACATTTTCTAGCAAAAACTTTGACATCTTTTCGAATATATATAGTTTTTGCCAAAAAGTAAATTTTCTGGTAGAGAAGTCCTTATATTATAAATAAAATTACTACCGAAAGTCACGAAATTAATAAAATTACAAGATGAATAACATGTACAACCGAAAGTCACAAAATTAATAAAGAAAATAGACATAAATTAATTATAAGACCAAGTTAAAACGTTGTAATGCATACTTGGGGTCCTTGCTGAACATTTGGATCAAAAGGATCTCCAACCACTTTGGATTTTGCTTTCTCCACCACCTTATTTACAAATTTGTCATAAATCCCCTCCTGGACGAACACACGAGAACCTGCCACACATATCTCTCCCTACAATGACAAAAAAAAAGATAATCATTTTTGTGTGTCAACAAGATCAAGAAATGAAAAAAAAATGTCTCTTTTACTTCACCTTATTGAATGTGGTAGCGGCAAGAGCAATATCAGCAATTTTATCGACATCTACGTCGTCAAAAACTATGAAAGGCGACTTGCCGCCGAGTTCCAATGACACTTTTTTCAAGTTGCTAGCAGCCGCGGCTTGCATTATCATCCGCCCGACCCTAGTAGACCCCGTGAAACAAACCTAAATCCCAAAAGAATTAACATAATGTACAAATGTACAATAATGTTCTACATACTTTTGTAGCTTTGTAAACATAACGTTAACTTTACCTGAATTAATTTGTGTTAATTTGGTTTATTAAGAAGGAGGGTGTTTTGGTAGACGTGTATGGTTGAATTTGGGTAACACTCGATCAGGCACACGGATGGATTCATTTTAGCCAATTCCAAATATTTTGGGACTAAAATTTGGATGTTTTTGTTGCACCATTAAATCTGATCTTGTTTGTTTATATCTAATCTAATCTTTGAATTCATGATCGTAGTTTAAATAGATATTAAAATCAATCCGAGTAAAAATATTTCGAGTATGTGCACGCATAAATAATATTTTGTGAAGTGTAAGATTACCTTATCAATGTCCATGTGAGAGCTAATGGCAGCCCCGACCGTGGATCCAAACCCGGTCACCACATTCAGAACTCCATTTGGGACTCCCGCCTGTTATGAAATGACAATTATTTATTTGAAATTGCATGATAGCATTAACATCTCGAGTGTCTCACTTTTTTTAAAATTCCACCAGGGATCATATGAAACAATAATTATTTATTTTGAATAACATCATTAATACTAGTATTAACTTTTTGGCCGAGCTTTTCCGCGCCAGGATTTTACTCATTAGCCGGATTTTCTAGTAATGAGATTTTCCAAAATAGGAGTAAATGGAGTTTGAAATTCCAAAATAAGACTACTATGTTTTTATTCCCGAAATAGGAGTACAGTACATTTAATATGACAGTATTTATTATAATTAATGGCAATATTTTTTAATTATGGCAGTATTTTTCATATATGGCAGTATAAACTCCTATTTCGAGAAGAAAAACATGGTAGCCCTATTTTGGAAGTCCAAACCTCATTTACTCCTATTTTGTTTATAATAAGCTCCATCAAATTACATCTATGACACTTCCAAAACGAAGGTCACACGTTTGAAGCACATGTCAATCAATAAATAGTGTTGGCATCTTTAACACATCTAGATACTGCATATGTGGGAATGTACAAAAAAACACACAAATTTAGGGAGTGTCTGCAAACAAACAGTTAAAAAATGTTTTTGAATTTTTGAGTTAAAAAGTTGAGATGAGTATTTTTAAAATTAAAGACCACTTAAATTTAAAATTTAAAATTTAAAAGCTGGAAGCGTGGGGAATCCTTCAATTTGAACTATTTTCACTTTTTTAAAACACAAAATCACATTTTTACTAAACACTACCGATTTTTACTTTTTTAAACCGATTTTTTATCAAAGCTTATTGTCAATTTTTAACGTTTTCTCTAAAATCATTTTAATTATTTTACATAGAAGCAACGACAAACATTCACTTACAAGTTACAAGTATAAGTGTTGACTTACAATTTTTGATAGGTGAGTATAATAGAGAGCTGAGAGAGAGGTCTGCTCTGCTGGCTTCAGAATTATGGTACACCCCGCAGCCAAAGCTGGTGCAACCTTCATAGAAAACATTTGAGCTGGGAAATTCCAGGGAATTATGTGTCCGACCACCCCAATCGGTTCCAGCAGCGTGTAACCTTGGATGTTCCTCGACATCTTCAGCGTGGTGCCGTGGATTTTGTCGGCAGCGCCAGCGTAGTACCGGAAGTTCGTTGCCGCTGCCGGGATGTCCACGTACTTCCCTTCCGTGAATAACTTTCCTGCTTCAATTGTGTCAAGAGCAGCTATTTCTTCTGCATTTTCCTCTATCAATTCCGCCAATTTCAGCAAGACCCTTTGTCTTTCCTGACATTATTCAAACCATTAATCAAAGCCTAATTAATCATAAGAAATCTACTCATTAATGCCTCGTAACGTTGTCGTTTCAGTAACATTGATAATATATGTATCAAATTAAACTCCTACTCAGAGGTTATATCTTAATTAAAAAGTAATACTACCTCATTTCTTTTTTAGTTGCAATATTGTCAAATTTTATATTATTTCACATGATCTATCACTGCAAAAAAATTACGGGATTGGCAGGATTTTGGCACGAATTTATCAATTTTTCGTGCCAAATAGGTCGTCGCAAAGTGTTTTTGGCACAGATTTGGCATATCCCAGCCAAAATTCATGTCCAATCCCTGTCAAAATCCCTGTCAATCACATGTTTTTTTGTAGTGTATATTTAATGCGCTTTACTTATTAGAGAGTAATTATTATACATTTAATTTTTGATAAATATTGTTAAATTTCAATCAATTTAAATTTTTAAAATCAGAATTTTTAATTTATTTTGCTAATATGTAATGAAATGTATTGATGGTCAAATTTGTGTGTGTGAAAATTGTAATGTTTCAACTAAAAAACAGAGAAAGTGTATAAGGATGTTGACATGCATTATTATTGATATTATAATACGGAGTAGGTTATATATTATAGTAAGTTAGAAGTGTTAATTAGCCCAAAAATAGATTAATAACATCTTTCATTCCTAACTTTTTTCAGCTCAACACTCTTGATTAGCTTCCATTTCGGAAGGGAACAATATTAATCTTTAAAACACTTCTAACTTAAATACGCGGGTCATAATAAAAAGATGTGTATAAGATGACAACAATGACTATCGCTGAATAGCACTCAATATTAAATTATAGGATGCTCTTGATTATAATCTACTTCATTGAACAAGAAAATTCAAGGATCCAATAATCATATTTATTTGATAATTTTTAGTGATTAGAATATTCTTAACAATTCCTATATACTACATGTATTATTAATACAATTTTATATCACGTTTTTAAATATGTATTCACAAATTACTTATGAGTTGATCGATTTTTTTAAAATAAAATTAATTTCATTAGTTATCACGCACAAATTAATTCACTGAAAAAACTATTTAATAATAACTATGCACATTCCTTTAAAACTGTAATTACTCTCATCTTTCTTATTTAAAATAAGGGTAGTAGCTATCTGATTAATTTTTTTTTACTTTTTTAAACTCCGACTTTCCTAAAAGTATCATTTTCTTCTATCCTAAAGGTGGAATCCTCCACCCCAGACGTCCCCACACTTCGAACTGACAGAATGGTAGAGGAGGAAGTCATTGTTCGATTTCAAAAGATTTCTTAGTGAGATGATTCAAGACCTGATTGGTACGCACAAAAAGTCACCACATCGATGAAACTCTAACACTGTCGTTACCGAGAATTTAACTTGAGATCTCAGTGAAACAACCTCACACAACTACCGTTGAGCTACCGGTGCAGGTTAAGTGTAATTTTCTTCATATATGGAAGTTAATGAGACGTAAGTACCTATCCAATTATGACACCCAAATGCGATGTCTCTTGGATGAAACTATTGCATTGATTTTTCGTGACAGGCTCGTGCGTACGTTTTCAGTGTCAGATGTCACTTGCTTAATAAGCGTACGTACAAAAGATGCAATACATAAAAGAGAAAAGTCCTCCTGTACTAAACGTATACAAATAGGCAATGTAAATGGTTTATATGCTTTACTTAAAAGTATAATTAAGTCCCGCTTTAACCAAGTGTCTTTCTCTTTTCTTTCATCTTGGAGCAACTTTTCTTTTTTTATTTTTCTTTTGTTCGATTCTTTTATTTTTCCATCAAATTAAAATACTAACAATTTAAAGACAATCCTACTTTTCTTTATCTTCAGCTTAAATTATAATTGAATTTATTTTTTTATTCTTTATCAATACATAACAACAAGTTTATTAATCTAAATAAAATAAGTATATTGCATTTCATATTCATACACTATTTTTGTCTGTAATATTTTTTATATTCATATACTTTTTTGTAATATACTTTTAATATACATACACTTTTTTGTAATATTTTTTTTATATGGATACATTTTTTCTATAATATAATTTTTTTATCACTTTTATTTGTTTTTAGAGGTTTTTAAGGCATTGAGTTTGTTTATTTTGATTCTTGAAGTTACATTTGATAATATATTATGAAGTTACATCTTCTTCCGCGCGAGTTACATCTTAATGTACGCGAGTTACATCTAATGTACGTGAGTTACATTTTAATATATGCGAGTTACGCCTTAATGTATGCGAGTTACACCACGGAATAAACCCCTGCTATATCATTTTCATAGCCCTAATATTAAAAATAAAACATATTCACTATTTAAAAAAGTAATTAAGCTATTAGGATCAATTTTTCATTGTTTACATTGAAATCAATGTTTATGATATATATATATATATATATATATATATATAATTCTCAAATACACAAAAAAAAATTGTTCAATTTTCCAACAAGTTACATTGTGTATACACCTAAGTTATATTTGTCATCAACGCGAGTTACATTCGTAATAACATGAGTTACATTAAAAAATTAACTCCTGGTTTTGAAACAAAAAAATGATCTTTTCTAAAAAAATATTTTTTATGGTCATGATATTAAAAACAAAGCATATTCACGATTTACCTAAAGCAATCGTGCAATTAGACTCTCTTTTTACATTTTTTACATTGAAATCAATTGTATTTCTAATACTATGTATTTGATAAGTTACATTCCGAATGCATTTGAGTTACATTGATCAATAACATGAGTTATACATCTATACATGTGAGTTACGTCATTCATGCTACTGGGACAAAAAGAAAGAAAAAACAGTTACTGTACACGCGTGTACTGTTCACGCATAAACTGTTCATGCAAATTTCGTTTAATAAAATTGTACAAAACTGCGTCGTTTTGAGAATGGAGCACGGTGCTCACCGTGGGATGATCCCACGGTATAGTTAAAAGTAGGGTCTCCATGATTTCCCTTATATATTTGGTATCATAATCAACTAGGCAATCATGTTTGGTCTATCTATGTACATGTTAATCAAATTGTCTATGCAGAGATCACTTTTTTTCCTTTTGTGAAGAAAATTGTGCGGCACACATAAAAAATATCGGTGCAAAAAAATACAATATAATTTTCGGCACAAACTGAAAAAATGTCCATATATAAACAACTCAACCGTGTGTCAAACGACGTGTATAGAAAACGTGAATAAACGGCATTAAGAATGAAAAGACGGTGGATATGATAAAGATAAGACTACATACTGCACCGGAAAGACGAGGCCAAGGGCCATGATCAAATGCCTCACGAGCAGCTTTGACCGCCAAGTCAACGTCTTCTTTACCCCCTTCCGCTATTCTCGTTATTACATCACCGTTGCTCGGATCTATCGTCTCGAAAGTCCTTCCTGCCGCATTATCTTACAAATTAAACTCTCCATATCTTTTTTTTATTATTATTATAAGATATTACTTGTATGTACTTTTACAATTATTTCTCGTTCCGTCCTACTCCTACTTTTGTTTTTTAGTTATGTTTCTGTTGTAAGGATGTGGCCAAAACCAAAAATATGGATCGAATTAGTGAAATCGTAAACAGTATATTGTTTTTCTAATTGCTTAACAAAAAATGAATATTGCGTCTCAAAGGAATATTTCTTAACAAAAAATATTTCTTAATGTACCTTAATTAGATTCGTACGTATTTAATTTAAACTCGCTAAATATCTGATACAAGACATTTAAGATTGAACAACTGTAAAAGACACAACTAAACATGTAAACGTCAATAATTTTAAGGATAACATGTTTTAATGAGCATGTAACAATGTAAGGAAATATATATGTTTTACATATTAAATATATGCGTTTAACATATATTTGAATCATTTAATTTACTTCCACATGGACTAACTCATATTCATTTGTGAGTATGTTACATATACGTAGTATTCATTAACATTATTGCATATAAACGGTAGCAAGAAAGCAAACATGACAACATTTTTCAAGTGGAAAAACTACTTAGATATTTTGTTATACAATTTATTACTTCTTCATAAGAATTTAGTTGTTGCTAGAAATGGAGTTGATATTAGTTGGTAAAGATGGATCATGCAAGAATGAATTTAAATTACAAAAATATTACTAAATGAGATAAATTTGTAGGCCTAATAATCGGGGAAAAAATGACACAAACATTTACATCTGTTTTTATAATACTCCTACTTTTATAAAATGAGCATGCTTTACTCGTAATTTTGGAATTCTCATTACAAGGAGATCTCTATCCATGGGATTATTAGGAGATTAAGTTGGTGATGTTACGGGATTATTTTTGAGATTATGATTGAATGAGACTATTTGGTGAGACTTTGATAAAATAATGCAGAATTAAAATATGATTCATATTATCTCAAGAGTATTGTGAAGCTAGTCCACCCCGTATTAATTAGTGAGTGCATGATCTACAAAAGATTTGATTATTTTTAGATGATGAATGATGTATTTTAGAAGGTCTCAAATTGTTTTAAGAAAATCTGTGTCATTCGAGTAACATGAATAATGAATATGAACCCGCACGGGTAGCTCAGTTGGTTGAGTGGTGGAAGATTTAGATCAATAGACTAAGATTTGAATCCCCGCAGCGACCAGGTGGAGGTCACAGAACCCGAAATAAGATTGGACCTCTGATGCGCACGGGTGTATGGGTCTGCTGTCATTCTGCTGACTGAGTCACTGTGACTAACCTCTCCACCATCCTGTTGGGTCGAGGTTGGGAGTCCGGGTGGGAAATTCCACCTTTTTTGGATCAATAATGAATACGAATGCTCCAATAATGCCAAACTACATAGGCATATTACTACATCACTGATTTACACATCAAATATCTAAATCAACGGTATCCCCTTTCCCACATTGTATTCAATAGAGGCCAAGTTGAGGGGACCATAGTTGGGATGCTCATTTAAACGAGCCCCACTGCAATAAAGTGAGTTTCTAGATGTTTTCGTGGACTAATAAATCACAAATTCTCATTTGAAAAAGAAAACCCATCACAAATTCTCATTTAGTACTACATCGTTGTCTTTGGATACATAATGGTATTTAAATATAGTGAACTAATACTAATATTAAATTATTTCGATAAACCAATGTTTTAGTACAAAATAATTTGTACATGCTACAGTCACAGTACCTAAAACAATTAAATCACGCATATCAAAGTTTCGGATACCCGGATATTATGCTTAAATTTTTGGTATGGTCGGTATGTGGTATGCATATCATTTAGAATAGGAAAAAGAGTAAAATAAGGTATTCTATATTATTATGAAATCGTTACATAAGGATATGCATTCGATAAAATGTTATATAAATACTTCTACTTATCAAAAGCAATCAGATGAGTTCTAACGACTTGTTGACAACCTCCTAATCCCAATTTTAGCGTACATTTGACAATTTTTGTAGAATAGATTACAAGGCAAACATCTAATATTTAGCTAATATCGGATGAAATACAAGACAAAAATATCAACACCTAAGCTATAATAGGGTTTAAGAAGTTGTCAACGAATCGTAATGACTCATCCGATTGTTTTTTGTATAAGTAGACGTATTTATATGACAATTTATTGAGTAAATGGTTTTTGTGACGATTTTAATTTATAATAGTAGAAGATCTTATTTGACTTTTTTGTTTTTAGAATATACTCCGGTAATAATTAATTATTCAATTAAACTTTTTCAGTCATGCTCTCGGTAATTCCAATGTCAAAATTAGCTTATATCTTTCGGAGTATGGGATTATATCACAGAACAATAACGTGTCTCCATATCAAATAAGGTACACATGTGAAGAAAAAGTAGAAAATATATAAATTATCCACTTCTTTTTTATAGCAGCGAAAAAGTTAATAGGGAGTACAATTTACAGGGTCCCATGCATCAAACATTCAAACCCGTGTGTTATTATTATTATTAATCGTACGCAGAATATAGTTACTTCGATGAACAAATTTAATTTTTAAATAAAAGAAAAATGATTAACTTTTTACATTATTTAGATATTTAGAAAATTTACTTGCATATTCTATCATAATATTAACAGAAAGAAACATAACATTTATTTAAAGACAACTTAAAAAGGAAATATACAACATTTTTTCGGAATAGAGAGTACAGTATAAGAAAAACGTATTAGAAATAAACTCTTTAAGTTTGTACGAATGATTTACTTTGTAACAGAATATATACTTCGTAGAAAATATTCAAAAAAAAAAAACAGAATATATAGAAAGGCACAATGTGAAATGTAATTATATAAGTACAAGCTGAACGCAAATTGTGATGCAGATATGTAACCAAATGTGATGCAGAAAATTTCAGTTGTCTTTGTATTGTAGTGTGAACTATTCAACTGTTTGTTGCAAACCTTTTAAATTCAATTATACGAAATGAAAACTTTTAGAAAGAGAATTAAAAATAATATTACTTCACTTTCGATCCTGTGATAAGAAATACGGAGTAACATGCAATAAGATTAATATATTAACCCACCATCACTCATATACTCGATATGATCACTCATATACTCGATATGTTAAGATATGAAGTTTAATCCTAAAAAATATAAACATATACGCACCTATGAGGAGAAGAAGTAGCTCATGGCTTAATATAAGACATATTACTTCACAATTTCCGATATAAAACTTAACACTCCTCATCACAACTAGACACTTTGTCTAAATTGTGTCGTCGTTCAATTTTTCATAGGTTCGTCATTGTCATTCCTTTTAAATTATTGTCATTTTTCATATGGGGCCACACTATAACTATGGATCGATTTGAATCTGATATCATGTTAAGACCTGAGATTTCATCCTAAAAGGACAACTTGTTAAGTGGAGTAGCTCATGTCTTAATATAACACTTTACTACTTCACATTCTTTGTCAAGAGACTTCAACACAATGAGTAAATAGTTAGCAGTACATCATTAACTCATTACAATAGGTCCATAAAAATATTAATGGTAATAAACATAATAATTAGTTAAATTTAATAAGAAATAACATTGCATCTTATTCTAAAATTTTAAATTATTTTTACTCCTATTTAAAGCAATTTTTATACTAAATCAAATCATAACATAATTAAAGTTTGATTTACTAATTATTTCGCATGCTATATTTAATTGAAACCAAGGAAAAAACAATCCTCACATGATGAATTGATGACCGCTAGTTTTAGTTATACTCGTTATTTGGGGGAGGCTCATTTGCTATATGGCTGTCTGTTGTGATAGGTCTAGACTCAGTCCTGTTTTTGCTCTACCCAGAAATTACCTGGAATTTCTCGGGTTATGAAAAATAGATCCGGAAAAGGCTCGAAAAATTCAGTTTGAGTCGGGTATTTTACTATTTTATAGCTAGAGTTGGGTCCGGATTTAAGTAAAGTCAGTTAAAGCCCAATAAAAATTTATCACTCTTTTATTGAACAAAGTTTCCATAGCACACTTCAATTCAAAACACTTATAAAATTTTCAAACTGACCCGTCAAAGTACTCTCATATCAAAGTAGCATAGGTAGTTTGATGCATTAAGCCCAAAATAATTTCGATAATAAATATAGTATTAGTATACTATATTTATATACTTCAGTTTCTATAAAGTATATACACAAATAAAAAAAATTGGTACTGTGAAATCACTACGGGATTTTTTTGTTCTTGTTCCCAAAATACGAAGATGCCTTGGAGGAAATTACGGGAGTCGGAAGAGGGAGTTCCGACTGTGTGGCAATTTGTATTATTTTTATTAAAAAAAAGTATATAAAAAGAAAGTTTAGTTGGAAGAGCGAGTTGGGACGTGGCTAAAAAAAGTTAGGAGAATACATTATTCCAAAACAATTGCTACACAATAATTTAATTGTAAAGCTATTTTTCAAAAACCGATACAACCCGACCAGGTCTGTAACACCGTCCCCAAATATATTTACTTTTGGGTAAATTATGTATTGAACCTAGAGAAATAGTTAATGAATTTAGGAGGTTGTAAATTTTTGTTATTACTTTTGCGTGAATAATAAATTGCACGTGGGGCCCACATCGGGAACGAGGACCACCTGATATTCCGGGACCACATATGATATTCATTTTGGTCTAGATAATATGTATATGGTGGTGGATATTCTAGTTGGATCATAGAAAAGGCATGAGGTTGACCAGTTGGTCAAACGAGGCTCAATTACCGATATTGGTAATTTATCGTATAACAGCCTAAAATGAATTTCGATGACTTCTAAATTAAAGTTGGGGAAAGAGTATTTATTCTAAAGGTCCATAGTGTTGTGGAACATGGCATATATTTTATTTGATACAATAAAATAAAATCTAATTAAAACAGTCCGAGAAATACAACTTCTGGGGCACGTAGTATATTAAAAATGTGATTAGTATACTATAAAATATATAAATAAAAAAAACTAAATAACACTCATTTGAAATATCTAATTACCGATTAGGTTCTAGTGATAATATCCGATATAAATAACAAAAAACTAACAAAAAAATGTAGATCGGAATCTACAATTCCGACTATAGAGATTTTCTTTTTTGAGTGGGTTTTAATTACACAAAAAATGTATTCATACAATATAAAAAATAAAAAAAAATGAATACAAAACCAAACAACAGTCATTTGATATCTCCAATTGGGGACTACTTTCTAAACATTAAAAACAATTCAAGACGGAATAACCACTTCCGACCGGAGGCATTTAAATATTAAATAATTTTAGTCAGAATATGTAATTCTGACAGGATTTAATGAATAAATAAAAAACCAGTTCGGATTTGGGAAATCTGAATGCATTATTTGATAAAGGGAAAGTCATGTTTCAAAATAGGACTAAAATAGTTTCAAAATTCTAAAATAGGACTGTCATGTTTTTTATTCCCAAAATAGGACTAATTATTGTCATGTTTAGAAAATACTGACATGTTTGAAGTCTGGTACTGCCAAAACATGGCAGTAATGAGTCCTATTTTGGTAATAAAAACATGGCAGTCCTATTTTGGAATTTTCAAACTGTTTTAATCCTATTTCGGGTAATATCTCTTTAATTAATTTTTTTAAAACCCTACTTGTTGTTGGAAGAGGGAATTCCAACTCCGTATATTTGGAAAACCTAGTTTCATCCCCGTAAATTTGCAGCCCACGTTAGGGATTCCCGTATTTTGGGAAATCACCCTGCTACGACTATCTTAACAATCAATAAAAATTTGAACATGATGTATACTTTCGCACAAAAACTAATGTTTGCAACATATACATTGATTCTCTGTAGCATACTCCATACATTATACGTTAATTAGGAGTATGTACTAGGATAGGAATATTCGGGTGAGTTCGGACTGAATGGAACCGTTGTTCGTCCAAGACCGTTTGAGAGCTTTCATGATGGTTTTTTGATGAAATATTGTGAGCATGTTTTTCATGAAGTGTGGAACATTCACATAAACTTTCACCTTAAAATTTATTCAATAAATTGTGAAATAAATTATGGAAAAAAAACTGTGTTTTTTATGCATTCTTTCCGCAGTGTGTTTCAATAATGTATTTAACTAACTTCCCGATTAAATTTTCTAAAATTTTGTGTGAATGTATGAAATAGTCTCACGACATTTCTTCAAAAAATTCAACAGGAACCCTCAAATGACGTCGGCCGGATGACGGCAAGTCCGGAGTAACAAGAACATTAATTTGTAGTCTGTACTAGGATATGATTATCGATTAAATGTGTACACTTTTAGCGTTTGTGAACACAGGTAAGCTTTGATAAAGAAAACGAAGAAATTCCAGCATCTGATCTACTTTAGATACAAGTCTATGGAGACATTTTCAATCCAGCTCTTACGGCGCTGTAACCATAAATAAACATTGTGAAACTTCCTTTGAGTACATTTTCTTTTTTAGAAATTGCTATAAATAAAAGCAAAAACGTTTTGAAATATCAAAATAAGAATATCATGTTTTTTATTCCCTAAATATGAGTAATCTACCAAGTTTGGAAAAAAATGTTATGTTTTAAAGTCTAGTAATGCCAAATTTGGCAGAAATTTACTCCTATTCAAGGAATAAAAAACATAATACTCCTATTTTGAAATTTCAAAACTTTTTTCTCTTCTAACTTTTATAATGAACTTCGGTAATCAGCAACAATAAATTTATGATATAGGCTATGTTTGGCAGACATAGGTCTCTGTCTTCTAGCTTTTATACTATTTAAAAAGTTCCTAAAAGTTTCTAGTTGTATGTTTGTTATGACAATTTTGAAGAGCTTTTCAAAAAATAAAAGATCTTTTTTGAGATGCTACAGAGAGTAGCATCTGAAAAAAGTCTGTGACTTTTAGCATTAATGAGTCTCAACAGCTTGTATATCAAACAGAACTAAACCAAACAGTCAGCTTTTTACCAAACAACTACCACCTTTTACTTTTAAGATCTTTTCAGTCACTAAAAGCTAACAGTTACTAAAAAGACTGTAAAAGTATTTTTTCAGCTAGTTGTGCCAAACATAGTCATACAATTATAGTGATTAAAATATAAAATTCAAAATTTTTTCCTAATACCTTCATTTTAATCGTGTATGCATCATCATATCATACAAATACGGTGAAATACTATCAGCCATTATACTCATCTTCCTGTTGACAACTTGTTAAATTATGTACCGAGTTAATTATCAAAATAAGACTAAAAGTCATTCACTTTTCACAAATAGGACCAAAAAATGAACTATGTTTGCATAAGACTAATTATGTGTACCTTGGACAATTATACCCTTATAGCTATTAAAATGTTTTAATTCCTAATAAAATAATAAAAAATAATAATAATTCGTAAAAAATACTAAAAAAATAAGAAAAACATTTCGATATTAAAAATTTAATTAATTCTTTTTTCAAAAAATTAAAAAAATTAAAAAAAAAAAAAACTCAAAAAAAAAATCGCCGCCGCCTCTGCCGCCTCAGCACCACCACCTCCAGTCACCAGGGGAAAAAATGTCAAGTTCATTACGAATTCCATATTTATGGCAGAAAAAAATGAAAATGTTGGCATTCGAAAAGAGAAATATGCCACTTTTTTGGCATTTTCAGAAAAAAATGGCATTTTTCTGGGAAAATGGCATTTTTTCATCGGCCGGAGGTGGTGGTGCTGGGAGGTAGTACAGGCGGTGGGAAAGGCATCCATATTTTTTTAAATTTTTTTACGGAGTTTTACTATTTTTTATTAATTTTTTTAAAAATAAAATAATTTTTAAAAAAAAGTTTATGATTTTTTTATTTTATAAAAATTTTATAAATTTTTTAATTATATTTCTACGAATTTTTAATTTTTTTTCGAATTTATTATGAATTAAACATTTAATTATGGCTTTTGACTATTTTTAATTCATATTTAATGGAAGGGTAAGAATGGAATGCAAAAATAGGTATGTTTCCAATAGGACTCATATGGTCCTATTTTGGAATAAAAACATAGCAAGTCCTATTTTAGGTTTTTGCCATAGTTTTAGTCCTATTTGAACTAATTTCTATTATCTATTTCCTTATACATCGCAATTCTAATTCAATTTGTATACGATAGTACTCCATCCGTCCCGCAAAGAAGTTCCTAGTTTGACCTACACATATTCATGTAAGGTAATGTTTTGTTTTGACTTTCCAAGTATACCATTACTTTATATCAAGTCAAACAAAAAGTGGGTAAAAATAAAGGTAGTTGTGACTTTTTGGTTAAAAGTGATTTCCTATTATAAAAATGAGAACTTCTTTTTTAGACATCTATAAAAAGAAAGTGAGAACTTTTTTGCAGGACGGAGATAATATATAATATACCAGTTTACTTTTGTAATGTACCGTGACTTGCTAATGCCCTTTCCACTTTTTATAATGTGTAGTCTTTTTATAAACTATTACTCGTGTGTATATCCCTCCATAAACTATTACCTGCTTCCCACTTTGAAAGTAGGTAAATTATGAATAATAAAAGAATATAAATTTTTGAGAGTATGAGGAAAAGATGGTGAAATAGTTTGATACGTAGTAGAATAAGAGTTAAATCCAAAAAATGTAGTTGCGATAATGTATGATTTTTAAAATTATTGTGGTTATGATGAGAATATATAGAAATGAGAAGATTATTTAATTATAGTTGAAAAGAGAAAGTGGAAAGATTTTTATATTACAGTAGTACTTTCTATCTCGCACTTTTTATGTGCAGCACATATCTCACATCAATATTAATTTTTAATTTTTATGTTACTTTTGATCCACTTTTCATCTATTATTACTCATTATTGAATCCTATGTTTAAGAAACGGACTAGGAAGCGACCCGGCCGTGAGACAGGGTCACAGCCTCACAGGTCAACCCGGACCGGTCAACCCGGTCAACAATATAAAACCAGTCAACCATTTAACAATAATAAATATATAGTTGTATACAAAATTAAAATAAACGGTAGTTATTTCAGAATAATCAACTAATAATAATACTTACGAAACACTTATTATATAATGATATCATTTTGATCTTATTAAAATATAAAATGGTACTCCATATTTGTTATTTTTAATGAACATTTATTATATAATTTGAAATGATTTTTTTCTAAAACAAATAAGTAGCACTTGTATATAAATATATTGCATATTTTTTTCTTTTTAGGGTATTGAAATTGTAATTTTATTGGTTGAAATGCATTAAATTTTGTTTAAACAAAATAGAAAAACAACCGAAACCAGGTTTTTCGGGTTTTATTGGGTCCAAGTTTGGACCGGGTTTTGCGGGGTCAGCCGGGTTTTTTGGTTTTTGATCATTTCCGTGTTTTTAATTAACCGGACCAGGTTTCAGTCCGAGTTGTCGGGTTTCAGGTCGACCCGGATCGGTTTTTTAAACATAGATTGAAACTTGTGTAAAGTTTATGTACAGACATTATCATAAACATTGTTTATAATTTATTTCTATTTCTCTTATTTTTATACTCCGTATTTTGTAAATATCAGTGTCTCCATATTAAATTAGAATACGTAATTATTATAATATTGTGAGATTGGGTGAGGTGAGACATGATTAACAGTACATACAATAGATAAAATAAAACCGTGGAAGGGACCATATACAACTCCGCCAGACAAAGTAGAAGTACAGAAATGCCAGAAGGGAGATAAAATAATGGAGAAATGAAGTTAAAACAAGAACCTGAAACAGAGTCTGCAAATTCTCCATTGATGAAGAGCTTGGTGAATTTGACCTTCGGAACCTTGACTCGATTGTGCACGTCTCCATTAACTTGAGAAGGGGCCATTTCCTGGCTTTAATTTCTCTCCTCTGCGTGTGGATTTGTATTTTCTCTCTCGAATGACTAGCACATGAAAACTGATACGAGCTGCTCGCCTTAAATAGCCTCAGTACCTTCAAATATTTTAACCACTCACCGTCAACTCAATAATACTAGTACAAACTCTCTCCATTTTTACTACATTTGTCGCGCTAAACTGGGATGAGAAAGTGGTACCATTACTAAGAAAATTCAATATTTTTTTCCGGAATAATGCTAAATAAATAAATAAATAATTCTCAAAATAATTTTGGGTTAAAAATAAGGTAGATTCTATGGTACCCATAAGGTAACATACCTTTGTCCATATGGACCAATGAAAATGTAGCATTTGAATTATTTAAATCTAAATTAAAAATGATAAAGTGGTGTGATCCAATCAAATGAATGGTAGGTACGGTATCCCATTTTTTAGAAGGGTACCGGAGTTGTCAAGTAAAAATAATTCTCAAAATACTGTTGGATTAACTGTAGTTAAGGATCGCCGCCACTTGAAGTTGCGGCTTTCTTAAAAACATACCTACCTCCCGCAAGTACGAGTGTAATGCCAAAGTAAGCCAACTATATATGGTATTGGGTCCCACCAAAAATAAATATCTCCTATTTTCTTTGAAGTGCTATAATACTCTCATTTTTACAAAAAATATACCAAAATTCATAATTTTTTATTATCTTTCATATGACACCATTATTGAATATATAAAATCAAAAAATAATTTAACGCTTTACAAATTACTGCGTATTTGTTTTTGGCATTTTGGCCTCGATATTACTAAAAATAAGATAAAAGACAAAAAAATGACATTTTTTAAAAATTTTCAAAAATGTGACCAACACCACAATTAACCCCTGTTGTGTAAAGTGACTCCGACCAAAGTGACTCCGTCACCACAGTGACTGCCCTACTGGACACCGTGACTGTCTTACCGGCCACAGTGACTGCCCTGCCGCTCACAGTGACTGCTGACCGGCCAAAAGTGACTCCGACACAGTGACCGATGCAGTGACCGCCGCCAACACCGCCCTAAGTCCACAAACAACCTCTTTCACTCTCCCACACACAACCCCTTAGCCCACAGTCCACAGCGCACCCCCCACTCACACTAGATAACCCAACTCCTCCTCTGTTACTACCACTAGCCGACAACAACCGCCCGGCCCCACCACCAAAGTTAGAAAGCCTAGCTGCTAGATCTGAAATCTAGTCGTCAGGATCTGGAATCTATCAGATCTGGGAAGGATTTTGAGCGGCGGCGGTCGAGACTCCATCGAAGACGATAACGACAGAGGTGATTCAATGCAGCGTCGATTGACAAGCTTCATCGAAGATGACGACACCTACGAAGTTGTTCCGGAGCAGCGGCAGCGAAAGTGTTACAGGCCGGAAGAAAGGAGAAGAAGAAAATTGATGGCGGAGTTCGGCGAAGCTAAGGGATGTTGCCTCCTGGAGAAGACTGTGTCTTCGGTGTGGCGATGAAGACGATTGGGAGGAGTAGTCAGTTCGGATGAAAGCTTCTAGCCCATGACAATGCGCGAGAACGAAGAGCTGAGATGCGAAGAGTTTGAAGGGTCACTTTTTCATCTAACCCTATTTCCGTTTATTACAAAAAATATATCAAAATTTAGTATTTTTTATTATCTTTTATAGGGGAGCAATGTTTCATATAGAAAAATAAAAATAAATATATTAATTTGTGTAGTTTAGGATCATTTTTTAATGCACTCCGTATTTGTATATATTCAATATTGGTGTCATATGAGATAAAACAACATAAATTCTTGTGTGAAAAATATAAAAATAAATGTGATGGATTTTGTATAATTTTGTTTTAATTCTATCACTCTTGATTAATTTTGTGCATGGTAAAAAACGATCCTAAACTACACAAATTAATATATTTTCTTTTTTATTTTTCTAAATGAAACATTGCTTCCCTATAAAAGAATAAAAAATAATAAACTTTGATGTATTGTTTGTAATATTCGGAATACAAATAAAAAAGTATATAAAACTTTAAAAACATATATGTAGTAATTTTAAAGTGTTAAATAATTTTTTGATTTTATATATTCAATGTTGGTGTCATATGAAAGATAATAAAAAATTATGAATTTTAGTATATTTTTTGTAATGATGAGAATACAAATACAAAAGTTATAGCACTTCAAAGAAAATAGAAGATATTTATTTTTGGTGGGACCCAATACCATAAATAGTTGGCTTTGGCTGACTTTGGCATTACACTCGTTATTGAGCTCAGTAATCTTGTAAGGTTCTTGTACTATAACAGATAAGTCACCACTTCAAGTGGCGGCTCTCCTTAACCACAGTTAATTTAACAGTATTTTGGAAATTATTTTTAACCCAACAATAGTTTGAGAATTATTTATTTATTTAGCATTATTAAGGAGAAAAAATCCTTAATATGAATAATTGAGCAATTGTATCCGGAAATATAGAATGATTTAAATCACTCAAATTTTATCAAAATTAATACTATCCTCGTCCCTTGAAATTTGATCAGGTTTAATCGACACGAGAATCAATAAACTAAAAATTGTGTGTAATTGAGGTTTGTGCAAGAAAAAAGAATTAAGTGTAATCACCAATTCTTGACTTACAATAGAAAATGTCAAAATTAGTGAAATCGCCTAAAAATAAAATTTGGCAAATTTGTGAGGATCGGGTGAGGGAGGGAACATAAGGAGTATGTGTTATACTTATAAGTGATCATTGGACAGTGAAATTTCCGACGGCTTCTGATATGCACTAATTAGTAGTGCATAAATGTATGTTTTTATGTTTGATTTGTGTGGATTATTTACCATTTTATTTAGTTTGTAAATAGTTGTGTGATTTTAATTGTAATTGTATTTTTGTTTTCATTTATAAGTTTTAAAGTATAGTTAGGATTTGTGGTGTTAGAAAGGAAGACTTTGAAGTGAAGAAAAAGGAAAATTGACTGCCCAGGAACAAATACTCGACCGGGTATAACCTCTCACCCGGTCGGGTAAGAAGTGAAAACTAAAAGTGCAAGGAACATGGCGCGATCGGGCCCACTACCTCACCCGGTCGGGTGAGACTTGGCCGGAGGCAATATGGCGTGCTGAAACGCAAGAACGTGGGAGATTATCTGATTTTAACTGGTACCCGGTCGGGTGAGCACCTTACCCGGTCGGGTACCCGGTCGGGTACCCGGTCGGGTACCCGGCCAAAGGTGTTTAAAAACACCTATAAATAGCATACATTTTCTTCACTAATTTCCATTCCTTCTTCCATACTCTTAAGCTCAGTTTAGAGTAGCATTTCTTTATATTTTCTAGCTATGTTTAGTCTCCAAATGAGGAGCTAAACTTCCATTCTTGGTTTTGCTCTTGAAGCTTGTTGATTATTAAAGTTGTGAGTTGTTTTCTTAACTTCTCTGCTCGAATATTAATTTTTCCCTTAATCTATTTCTATATTAATGTTGGGGAGTGTTGCTAAAATGACAATTAGTCAACATCTCATTATTAATTATTACTAGAAACGATCAACGAACCGAAGGTTAATCGTTGATGATTTCACAAGTAAGTAACTTCGGTATATTAATGCACGGTCGTGGTTAATAAACTTAAGAGGGATTAATTTTGTTGGTTAAACCGAAACCGTTGTGTTGAGGTTATCAATCTCAATTGATTTCATCAAGGAGTTAGAAAGAGTAAATGCTACTATTAAATCGGTATAAGGCGTTGTTCTATATTTGATTAATAGTAATGGTTATTAATGAACGGTCGTTGTTAATAACTACCCTCGATGAATTGGATATACTCCTCGATTAAGTGTTCGAGAGAGGATAAGTTATAGATATAACAAGGATCGACTAAATATATCAACAAGTGGAAAGTAGCAAAGCCAAGTTCTTTTTATCTTTGAATTAAATCACATATAAGTCGTTCAACATAGTGTTTAATTAAATTAAATCATTCAATCCCAAAAAAAACCCTTTTATTTACTAGTTTATAAAAAGAGAATTATTCCTCTCCATGTGAATACAAACTATACTACGCTATACTACGTATAAGTGTAAACTATTAAATTTATTTTCACGCACTACGACAAAGTGATCGTGAGCTTCCCCCTCCCATGATTCCTTCCGAACAGAGCAGTAATTTCACTTTGTGCTTCTTCACAAATTCAACGTTGGGAGCGATTCCTTTAAGTTTGTAATGTAACCACTTTGAAAGATTTTCGAGTCCTGAATTGCACTCATCTTGAGAATTCAATGTTTCTATAAAACCAATATCAGTAAATAGAGAACTCCAATATTATAAGCGGTAGTTCAGCAATTAAGGCCACGTATATGAAAAAAAATCGGAGAACGCGCGGCGGATGGAAACAAAAAACCATTATAAAAATAAAAGGACGTGTGTTGTTTCTCTCGTAGAACTGTCGTAAATTGCATTGTTTCCCTAAAACCTGAGATTGACCCTTCAGCGCAATGCTACCCTCACTCAACTCATCAAAAACCTTAGCTAAAAGGCGATAACACATTTGAACCTTGCAACCGACGAAAAGATGGCGACTTTAAACGAGGCGGATGGAGGACGGGTGAATTTGCAGTGGAAAGGCGGACGAACTCGACCGAACAGGTTATGGCCGGTGATAAGAGTTTTGTTAAAGAGTTTTACACAATAATATTTAAACGTTTTTTTATACTCAAAAAATAAAAACCTCACACATTTGCATCGTTTTGCTAGCTAGAAAGTACTTTTAGTGAAGATTGGACGGAAAACGAGGATGAAAGAACACACACAAAGAATCCTGACAACGAAAGGTCAACCAAATGCATCCCAAAGAATAATCAAGAAATTTCACAAACTGAGTGAAAGTCGTCCGGCTTTCACAAAACTCGTTCAGCTTTTGACTGACAAGCCACCGAGAAGTCGTGCAAGAACAAAAAAAGGCGACTGGCGTCAAAACAACTTATAAGTTGTGCACTTATCGACCAACTTATTATGATCTTTCCTTTATATTTTTATGTGTATAACTACAGTGTACAACGTATGATTATA